CATGAGAGTGAAAAATATTGTCGGGGCGTTGGTTAACCCGAACGGCATGACGAGCCACTCGTAAGAGCCATATCGAGTGATGCACGTTGTCTTTGGCTCGTTTCCTTCGGCAATACGGACTTGGTAATAGCCTTTTTGTAAGTCCATCTTTGTGTATATCTTGGCCTTACCAAGTCTATTGAACAAATCAGCTATCAAGGGAATGAGGTACTTATTGTTAACGGTTACCTTGTTCAACGCCCGGTAGTCCACACATATCCTCAAAGAGCCGTCGTGCTTCTTTTGGAATAAGACCGGCGTGCCGTAAGGTGCCTTTGATGGTCGGATCTTCCCCGTCTCGACCAACTCGTTAAGTTGCTTCCGAAGTTCCTCGAGCTCCGGCGGTGACATGCGATAGGGAGCCATGGCGGGTGGTTTGGCTCCCGGTTCCAACTCAATGGCGTGGTCCACCTCCCTCCTAGGTGGAAGCTTGTTCGGTAAAGTCGGCGGCATTACGTCTTGGTTGGCCTCCAAGACGGTTTGGATGATTGGTGCACGTCATCTTCTTTGTTGACGGGTAGGCTGTCATCTTTTAAAGCGGCTAGAAATGTCGGCTCGCCTCGTCGAACTCCCTTGGCAACTTGCATGGCCGATAGTTGCCTTGGTTGTGTGCTTTCTTCCTTAGTGGTGCCATTGGTGGCCGGCACCATGCAAGGTGTCCCATTTTCTAAGATGCAAACCGAATTGAAACAAGGCATCGGGATAGCCATTACCTTGCGGAATAAATCCATGCCTAGCACCACCTTGAAGTCATCCATCGGTGCTACCGAGAAACCCACTTGGCCCTTCCAAGTGCCTAAGTGTAGCTCCGCGTATCGTGCTACACCGTTGAGCGGTTGTGCCTTAGCGTTGACGACTTTGAGCCAACCGTCCCGTTTGGTCCACTGTAGGCCAATCCTCTTGGCCTCGTCCTCCGTGATGAAGTTGTGGGTCGCTCCGGTGTCCACCATCACCTTCGCTGGGGTACCGTTGATGCGGGCCTCCACGTACATCAGCCCCTTATGTTGTCGGCATCGGATTAGCCTTTTAGGCGTTCAGAAGTTGGAGCGATCCCATGTTGTTCAGTGCATCGTTTGTGCCTTGCTCGGCCTTTTGTTGTTGTAAGAGTGCCGACAATGACCCCATCTTGGGACATTGACTCATCGCGTGCGGGCCCCGGCACACAAAGCATCCTCCCTTGAGCACAAACGATTTCTTCTTTTCTTCAAGTTGTTGGCGTGAGGATGGCTTGTCTCCTCCCCTCGAGGTTGACGCTCGCCTTGGGTCTCGGTTGTCTCGATGGTCCCGACTATGATTGTCCCGTCTCTTTCCCCCGCCTTTAGTTTGGTTCCACTTCTTCATTCGCAATGAATCTCTCGGTTGGTACTCGGTTAAAGACTCGGCGGCGGCAATAGCTTCAAAGAACGGATTTGATGCCTCGTCGGTGGCGTTCTTGCTTAGCCCAGCCTTGTAACCCATCGGTGAAGTGGAAAAGAAGGTCGTCCTCTAGGAGGTTTGGAATTTGAAGGGTGAGGGTTGTGAACCCCTTCACATATTCGCAGATTGAACTTCGTTGCTTGAGCTCCTTCAACTTCCTTCGAGCCTCATAAACGACGTTCTTCGGGTAGAAGTGTCGTTTGAGATCCCTCTTGATCTCTTCCCATGTATCGATTCGACAAGTGCCTTTCTCGATATCAGAATGCTTTCTACGCTACCACAACATAGCCGTGTCGGAAAGATAAAGGGAAACAGTTCTTACCTTAGTCGTCTCGTCGACTAAACTGATACCCTCAAAGTATTGCTCCATCCTCCATAGGAAGTTCTCAACTTCCTTGGCGTCCCTTATGACGTTGAATCCCGTTGGCTTCGGGCAGTCCACCCTTGGACTTGAAGTAACGCTAACGCTACCGTTAGCGGCGGCCTTTTTGCACAAGGTCAAGTCATCGCGCATCCCCTCGATGCTCTCTTGGAGGGATTGGATGATGGCCTCCGATCGATCAAACCGTTCCTCCCGCAACGTCTCTTTATCCCTAAATAATTCGAGTTGCTCGGCGACGTAATTCTCCAAGACTTCCACATCATGCTCGAGCTTCTCGAATCTTTCGCTAAGCTCCGCTATGGCCACATTATTCTCGAGCCTCGCGAGTCTTTCGCCATGATCCGTTAAGACGGCCTCGTTGACGGTACTCTCCCCACGAGCCTTGCTGTGGTCCCTCTTCTTCTTGTTGTTTACTTGGACCTCCCTGCCACATCCCTCGGTTACGTACGAAATGTCTTCAACGTTCGTCATCGCTTGAGAATTCGATCAACACTAAGCCCTAGCCGGGCTCTGATACCACCTGTCACGGACTTGTTCCCTTAACAACGAACCGTGGCTTTAGCTCCTTCTAGCCCCTCGCGATATCTAAGTCAGCCTTTCCCTTAACAACGAACCGTGCGGCCTTAGCTCCTTCTCGCCCCTCGCGATAGCTAAGTCAGCCTCTCCCGAAAGTGTTGCGAATGCTAAGTGATGGAAAACGAATGAAGATAGTGTACTTTTATTGCTTAAGTGCTTGGATTCTTGTTGAATTTGTTGGATGATTACAAATGACTGAATGAGGACCCTACCCTATTTATACTAGGCCACCTCTTTAATAGATAGTGGAGATCTATTTGATCTAACAGTTAGGAGTTGTTCACTAGAACACTCCAAACTACAAGGGAGGGTTCTAAAATATTTTCTAGAATCCTCCAAGAATCTCTTCATATTTCTATATATTTGGGCTCAAGTCCTTAATAGACGGTGGAGATCTATTTGATCTAACGGTTAAGAATTGTTCACTAGAACACTCCAAACTATAAGGGAGGGTTCTAGAATATTCCTCCAAGAATCTCTTCATATTTCTATATATTTGGGCCAACTTGAGCCTAACCCTATTTGGGTTAAGTTTTGGGTTTTCTTAACCTCCCAACCCAAGTTTTGGGTTTTCTTAACCTCCCAACCCAAGGGAAACTGGTAAAGGGTTGCGCCAAAACTGGCGGACCGTGAAAGAAATAGAGTTATTCGGTTTATAGATTTGGCAAAAGAAATAGGGTTTTAACTAGGGAATGAAATCCTATTCCAGAGTTGGGGCAATCATCAAATATTATATATATTTTTATTTCACCAAAAATTCACAAAAAAATCTCAATTGAGCAAGCATTAGAAAACAAGAATCATATGATTCAGGAAATTTATGGGTCACTCGATCATTCACTCAAAATTACGGCAGAGAATGCCGACAAATATTTTACATGACATCCTGAAACAAATTTATTACGAAAATAAATTAAACAGTAAAAAAAAAGATACGAAATCAATAGAAAAATACCTCGACTCTGCCCAGCTAAGATCGGGAATATCTTCATAGAAAGGAGATCGCCTGCAAGCAATGTGTGCATAATTACGATATGTACCCCAAGATCGGGAACATCTTCATAGAAAGGAGATCGCCTGCAATGTGTGCATAATTACGATATGTACCCCAGTCGAAGCCATTTATTTGATAATGCTGAAACCAAGAGAATTGAAATTGAAAGTAGAGAAAAAAGTATTATGGAAGATGACGATATGCGTGCGTTTATATATATATACATCGAATCTGACAATACACACACAAAATCTATTTGTATATTTCTGTTACAGCTGTTTTTTTATATACATATATGTGTGTATATATATTCTAATACACACACAAAATCTATTTGTATATTTCTGTTACAGCTCGATCTGTTTTTTTATATACATATATATGTGTGCAGGGGCGGACCCAGGGGTGTTTTCTTGGGGGGGCGGAAATATAGGGGTAAATTAAGAGAGAATTTTTTTTTTTTGTTTTTAGGGACTAAAATGTACAAAATTAAAAGTTTGGGGGGGCGAAAGTGTATAAACTAATACATAAATACCCAAAAAAAAAAAAAAAAAAAAAAAAAACAGCTTAAAAAAAAATTCTTGGGGGGGCGGGGGCCACCCCAGCCTTAGGCGTGGGTACGCCCCTGTATGTGTGTATATATATATTCTGTTATGCCGAGACAGTTTTTTTTGTTATTCTGTTTACACAACTGTGTGTGATGAGTGTACGCAATTTGCAGGTAAGTCCCCAGTATTGTTGTAAATTGCAGAGAAATGATGGTTTGGGCAAGAAGAAAGATAGTTGGGACTTGGGAGACTGAGTAGAAACTCTAAATAGAGAGAAATTTGGAGAGAGAGAGTGCTGAAAACTTGATCTTCTCGTTACAGACTGAACAATTCCACGCGCCCAGTGGAAGTGGAACCCACGCGCAAGCCCACTAAATCAGACTCAAGCCCAATATTGCAGCCCACATCAGGAGCCCATTCTTCATCAATGACCTCCTCACAAGCGACGACGTTTTGAGCATTAAGTGAGTTTCTCCAATTTCGATGTCAAAATCCCCAATTCTTTCCCAATTTGAACTATCAATTCTCGCCCTAGAATTCCTCTTCCTCTTTCTTCCCCAGAACCACTTCCTTATCTGTTCACCTTCATCTCCGGCCATCACATCATGACGGAGGTACACCCGGAATCTCTAACAGTATCTCATGCCCCACGTCAGATCCGGTGACGGCGCCGGCGCCGGCGGATTGAAAAATATGAGATATGGAGTGATTCATGAATTCCTGCCAAACAGAAGCCTTTATCTAGGTATTACCTAATCATTTTCTTTGTTGTTTTCTAACTGCGTTGTTGCATTCAAAAGTATTTGGTATTTTCAGTAAAGGCGCAATCGTCGGTGGTGGAATAATAGCATGCACATACATGTTTATGCAGTTAGATTCAGCATTTAATTACTGATTTTCTAGTATGGAAAAATTGGCTTTACGTTGTACATTGGTAGCCAACTTAGTTCCGATCACACACCTTACAAAGAAAATCTAGTTAAATTTGCAGCTATTCATGTGGTGGAAGAAGCGTCTACCGTCGTATTGCACTTCCACATGCCACCACTTACTATCTTCCCTACAGAATAGAGAATTGTTTACACGATGCTCCGATAACTTATTATCAAAAGGTTTGTGTAATTCACCCACTTTATCATCTTTTGCTTACATTTATTTAAGTATCATACGTATTTTCTCAGGATTCATCGGAGCCAGAGACTTTAGGAGCTAGAGTTAGTACTAACTATGCTTGGGATAACCTGCCTCTTCCACATAAGCTAGTTGTCCAATTTCATGGTACTTCTCGTTTTCTCAACATTTTTTACTTAAAAGTCTTGAATACTGTTCCTCACACTTTAATCATTTTACTTAAAAGTCTTGAATACTATTTGCTCTAAAGCAGATAGTTCCGTTTCCAAGTTCCGTGCAATTGAAATGACATAAGTGTTCAATAATGTAGTTCTCCTCCCGCAGATGTGCATCTATTGCGTGAAATCAACTTGGATAAGGTGAGGTCTGGGATTTCATTTACCCCTGGAGAAGAAGCCTGAAGATAAAAACAGTAAGTTCAATGGTATCTTTCGGCAAATTGTTATTCATTTCCTAAAGCTGTTTGTCACACTTGATCATATTTGCAGCCTCTTGACCTGAACCATGATGAGGAGACAATAATGAAAATTGTTCCATTCTGGAGAAGTTCTCTCAGTGATTCGAATGCTCCCCGTCAACAGTACTACTTTGATCATTTCGAGATCCACCCTATAAAGATTGTAGCAAGGTTTCTTCCTGGAGACTCCAATTACAGCTACAGTTCCACTCAAGAGACTCTTAGGTCGTTACTCCACAGTGTGATCTGTTACCAATTGTTCGTCGGATGATCTGTTTCTTTTCTTTTCTACGGCCTTTGAGGTAGTAAATCACTTTGATTTATATTTATATTCGACCAATGAATTTTCCATCTCCTCATAGATACCTGCCATCACGAGAAAGAATGTTGAGCTGAATGGGGTCCTTGTGACACATGCTTTGATAACGATACGTGAATTGACTGTAAAATGCGCACAACATTATTCCTGGTATACTGCAGTATGACTGTTTTTCTTTCCTCCTGTTTTAATATCTGGTTTTCCCTAAATTTCAATCAAGTTTTGTAGGTATGCCATGAGAGCAATCTATTTGGCAAAGGGAAGCCGATTGCTTCCTCCAGCTTTTGCTTCCATATTTGATGATCTAGCTTCGTCCTCGCTTGATGTCTTTTTTGATCCCTCAAGTGGTTTGGTCAATCTTCCAGGTGCGACCTTTGGTATCTCCTTTTCTCTCTTAATATGCATGTGAAAACAAGAATATGTTGCGTCCGAAACTGTTTGCTTCATTCTCTCTCAACCATGATCATCTCTTTTTAATACGAATCTGATTTTTTCAATAAGAACATGTCAATGGAACGAAAAAGTGCCAAAGATCAATTTTGTCTCATACTTCTCATCACATCATGAAGTATAGGCACAAATTTGTAAATAATTATAACGGACCTTAGAATAACGGGTGTCTAGGCAAAGTGAGTGATCTCAAAATTAAATATCTTCTTCAAAAACACACAAAAAATAAAATTAACTCAATTGTTTGTTCAACTCTCCCTTAAAAATATACCTAAAAATAGTAAGTAGTTGAAGGAAACTGCTTAAGAAGAATTGGCAGGTAGAGTGGAGAGTTTTATATCTCTAGCAAGGACTAGGGTATTATATACACATGTGTATATTTATATAGCATTGAGAATGAAAAAAATGGTTTCATCTATTGCTTAAAAACTTGAATAATAAGCATTTATGAGTAGGTCTTTTAATTAAGATTACATAAAGTTCTATAATGCCTCATTACAAGCATGGCACTAGTGTTTCATAGTATTCTTAAAGAGATAATATCACGGAATCAGTGTGTCGATGTAACTGTGCAGAATATTTTGATGAACATTTCCCTTTGCAAATGTTCATTCCAAACTGTTTGGATGGTCTCTGCCCCCCAAACCCCCCTGGCCTGGTCCATGAATTTATGAATTAGGGACGCTGAAGCTGATCAGTAAATTCATGGATAACAAAAGGATTTTCTGGAACAAAGCGCTACTTTGGTGATCTAGGAAAAACAGTAAGTTTTTATTTTCCCCTTCTAAGTACAAACTAGTTGAAGTTTTTCATTTGAGTTGCATGACATTTCTCTCTGGGTTTCATTTGCAGTTGAAAACAGCAGGGTCCAATGTGCTATTTGCTGCAGTCACTGAAGTATCAGACTCTGTTCTTAAGGGAGCAGAAACAAGTGGTTTTAATGGCATGGTATGATTCATTTATTTCCTCGAATGTTAATTATACATCTGTCGGATGTTGACTGTTTGGAGTACATAATATTGTCAGGTAAATGGTTTTCACCAAGGAATTCTTGAATTAGCTATGGAACCATTAGTTCTCAGCAGTGCTTTCATGGAAGGTGGCGCAGATCGGAAAATAAAGCTTGATAGAAGCCCTGGGGTTGATGAGGTAAGTCGAGAGTGAATTTATTGTATAAATATATCTATCCTTTTTCTTATGAAGTTCAGTTTCTGAAACGAGTTTCCTCCTTTTATAAATACGTCGTGTCACGAGTAGATTGAGTCGCAAGCAAAAAGAGCATCCACTATTAGTTTCAATTATTTTACCATCCTCAGCTCTTATTTCATTTTTGAGTTCTGAAAGCTTCAATAATGCCACAAAGGCTTTTGATATTTCTATGTTGAAATATGCAGCTATACATCGAGGGTTACCTGCAAGCAATGTTGGATACAATGTACAAACAAGAATACCTTAGGGTGAGAGTCGTCGAAAACCAGGTAATAAGTATACCCATGCCTATAATTTATGCATCAATTGAATCAATATGACTAAATTGTGTTTAAATGCTTCATTTTCTTATAGGTTATTCTCAAAAACCTCCCTCCAAGCAGTTCTTTTATAAACAAAATCATGGAGCATGTAAAAGGGTTTCTTGCAAGCAAGTCATTGTTGAAGGGTGAATCTTCAACATCTTACTCCCTCCGACACATACGAGGAGAAAGAGTAAGTATTTTTTGTTCCTATCTATTTCTTCTCGATTTCGACAAATATAATTAAGCTTTGTCAAATGTGAACACACGTTAAGCTTTGTCAAATGGGAATCGGCAGGTTTGTCTTGTCCGGTATAGTTGCCTATGTTGATGGGCGATTATGTCGGAATATTCCTAACCCTTTAGCAAGAAGAATTATTAGTGGGTTCTTGTTGAGTTTTCTTGATCAAAACGACGATGAAACGAAGTAGAAGGCGTTTCGGAAGTTAACTTTTCGTGAAGTTTTGTAGTGAACTGAAAATTCACAGTTCGAGAAGGTGTTTCGGAAGTTTCTTCTTTCTTGGGTTTGCATTTGCTGCTTATACACGGGACATCAAAAGAGGAATAAATGAAAAGGAGGTTTAGGCGAAAAATGGTACGTTTTATTTACGATTTTGTCTGGAAAAGAAGCTCTCAGATTTGGAATTCTCATCTGATAGCGAGCCCACAGTTTGTGAAAACTGCAATTTGCTATTTCCGAGTGAGTATAATAATGCTTTTGGTTACTCAATTTCCATGTTGGGCAAAAAATATCTTTTTTTTTTCTTCTTTTTTTTTAAAAAATTGGGGAAGTAGAGGAGGAGATCGAGATTCGACCCTAGACTAGAGGTGGTAAACGAGCGGAGCCGACTCGCGAACTCAACGAGCCTGGTCGACAAAGGCTCGAACTCGAGCCCAATTTTAGTTGTTCCAGCTCGCGAGCTGCCTTTTATATATATATATATATATATATATATATATATATATATATATATATATTATTATTATTATTATTATTAACTAAATAGTAAATAGTCTATAATAATAAATATTTATAGTATTTAAATAGAAACCAATCTATATTACTTAGATAATTCATAATAATATAAGATATTTTAATAATAATATAAAAATCAAAAAAAATATGACTACAGTTCATTATTTATTTTATAATTAATTTCATTTTACTAAAAATAATTTTTAATAAAAAAATAAATGATCTTAATAAAAAATAAATAATTAAAAAAACAAAAAAAAAACCTAAATGAGCGATTTTAATAAAAAATAAATAATTAAAAAAAAAAAAAGAATACCAAACCTAAATGAACTCGAGCTTGAGCCGGTCAAAACATCCGAGCTCAGTTCGTTCACACTCCTACCCTAGACGTCTCTACTTTACTAATAGATGATTGGCTACCATTTCTTCTAATTTGATTAAAAGTTTGTACTTTACTATTGAAGTGACTATGGATGACAATTTAACCCACCCTGGATTTATCGGGTAGTCCCCGCCTTGTGAGCTAATGGGTCGAGCATGGGTTTTAAATATTTCTTTTTATATTTTTTTTTATATTATGTAATACTAATTTTTAGATATAATTTAATTAAATAAATCGAGAACACGTATGTGGTGGGTACGGGTGAGAAATTTTGCTAGCGGGTCGGGTGCGGATTTTCCAATACCCGACCCATGGCTATCCCTAGAAGTGACCCCACCACCCCCCACCACACACAAATCCAATGATGTAAATCTTTGTAATATTGCAAGTCGTTTACAGAACACACTAAATTGAACCCATCCTATATCAAAAAGATAAAAGTTTTCAGCATTTGTTTTTTTTTATGAAATGTTATTTACGGTTAGAAAATTGCTATTTGCGGTTTATAATAAAACTCCCCAAAACTTTCCAAAAATTTTTAAAAACCCCCCAAACTGCAAATAGCAAAAGAAAAAAAAGAATTCGAAAATTCGAAATCAAGCTTGAAGCAGGGTTGGGCTTCGATTTTTTGATGTAATTTCGACTATTTTATGCGTAATATGCATTGGGTAGGTCGATTACGGAACCAATTTCATGTTAAAAAATCCTATAAATTGATTTGTAAGGCTTTTATTTTCGCAAAAAAATGTTGGAACGCCCAAGATGGACGTTCAATTAAAAATTAATTTTTTTTTTTTTTTTTTTGCACTGGACGCCCAACTCAGGCGCTCAAATGCAGCTTGCACGTCCAACTTGGGCGTGCACTGCATGAATGGGCACCCAAGTTGGGTTTTTACTCGTTTTGGGGGGGTTTTGGATTTTTTTGGAAAGTTTTGGGGTTTTAGAGAGATAAAATGTTTTTTGTTATAAACCGTAAATAGCAATTTTCAAACTGTAAAAAGCAAGTCCCTATAAAAAAAGATAGAAGTCGGCATTTGTTTTTTTTTTCCAAATAAAATAATCATTTAATTAAAAAAAAAAAAAAAGTGAGGAAAACCACTAGCCAATTTAATAGAAGCTGCGGGGCCAAGCAATAAGTTTCTGAATCAGGCCCACAGGAAAAAATGGTCAATCAGCAGGCGTTCATGCATATACCATTCCCCACAGCCTCTGTCTCTGTGTATATATATATATATATATATGTGGTGTCTCCTCTAATTCTAATTCTACCTCTACTTAGAAAGAATATTCTTATTATGGCTTTTATAATCTCGAAAAGGCAGCAGCCATCTTCTTCCTTCTCTGATAAGTCAGAGAAACTTAGCTTCAATAATAAAGATGGCGGCGAAAATGAAAAAGTAACTGAAACAGTCTCCACACAGCTCTTACTCAAACCCTCGCCGGAGAGCCTTGACAAAGAGGTGGTGCTCAGGCGGCTCCGCCACCACAAGACCATGGTTAAGGTTAAGAATGTCTTCCAGGCGGTGCTAACCCCCCCACCGTCACCGCATACTGATCGTGAACTATATGAAGAGAAATGGCTGCAACAAGGTGACTCTTTCACCTCCCCATGAATCGATGAGGTTTTCGATTTTGCCGCCGCCGGAGTTGTCTGAATGAGCGGAGGGAAACTAGCTCCGATGATGTTCAACAATTTCTTATTTAATTAAGTTTAATTATCGTATTAATTAATTACTTGTACTACGATTGTTGTCTGTATTTCTTAGATCAATGAATCCACTGGATGTTAATGTAAGAGAACCTTCATTTTCAGTAATATATATTATGAGCAAGCTTATTTTGTTTCGTAGCTTTCGCCCATGGCGACTTTTATCGGCTTCTTGTTTTTCGATAGGACTAACCAAAAAACAAGAAGTTAGTTAGGTAAATATTAAGGGCTTGTTTGGCTAAGCTCATAATCTCTTACAAATATCGTATTGTTTAAGAGCTTATAAACTGATAAATATTTAAAAAAAGCAGTTGTTAGGGATCTTATAAATTGTTTTAAAAAAAATACCTAGACCTCAATTTTTTTGATATAAAACCTTATTTGCTCCATATCCAAACATCATTAAAATTAATCAGATGTAGGAGCTTATCCGATGTTCTAAATAAACTTATCACCACTACACCACTAACTGTGAAAAATAGAAATTAAACATATTAATTTATTTAAGTATAATACCGATTATTGTCTGATTCTTAGATCATTAAGATAATCGAGTCATGTTAATGAATCCATTGGATTTCATTGTCAAACCTTCATTTTCTCTAATATATAATTCATTATGCAAGCTTATTTTATTCAAAATTATATTATTATTATTTAGGACCATAATTAACAAAGATTTAAAAAGCAAAGTTGAGCACTTCTTCCACAGATCAAACAGGAATCCTACTGTCCAATGGCAATCCTTCTACCTGAATCATTTTGCAATTATTAATTATTAATTGCTTCATTAATGCCCTAATATAATATTGTCAATGATTGCATCTTTTATCCATATTTTATTTAGGGTGTTTGTGTGGAAAATCTAAAAGATATTGATTATTGAATTATTATTATTATTCAGACAATGACATGCTCATAGACAAGGAATTTATCATAAACATCTTACTAGCTAAAGTATTTCAACATGATTTACGTCTCTCGTATTGTTTGTAAACTGCTCCACTGGTTGCGGCTCGTTTTGTGAAGTCCATTGGCCACACTAAATTCAAAACATTCCTTCCTAAAATTTCAGCTCCTTTCATTTAAAGCTAATTGCCTATTATTATAATGAGGCATATGTATAATTCTATTACAATACCTTTTCCTATAAGCTATCAATTCCTTTCGATTATTTGCTCTACTCGTCTTCATCTACAACCAAAATGATCGCACCTCGTTTGGCTCTTATCGGAATTCTGTTCTCGACGCTGTTTGCTTTTCATGAATGTATGGTAAATCTTTTTCCTTTTTCTTTTTTTTATTCACTATCATCTTTTGATTTATTAGAGAAAGCACAGGCAGCAAAGATGCTGGAATAATGGTAGAGGGAGAAAAGCTCAAAACATTTATCAACCCCATAAAATGCATCAGAGTAATCTTCGTGGCTGCAAAATGTTGGCGCTGTGGTTCAAAATTGGCTAAAGTTTGCTGGACTACTTTGAAATCTTGCCGCCGCCATTGCCGCCGGTCACCACCACCACCACCGTACAGTCATCCAAAATATCAGATTTACTAATTCTCAAAAAAATAAATTTAAATTCACATGTGGATTTAAATAATCTTTGTTAAATGAAATCAATTCATTAATTGTTATAGAGCAGATATTTTTATCACACAACTGAATTTAGTTTAAATTAATGTGATTTAGAATGCATAATACAAAATTCACCAAACAGAGAAATTGGGGAAAATGGAAAATAGAGATGAATATGGTGATTTTACTCATGATTTCTGAGCTTCCGGCCCTAAAATTCCATTCACAACGGAAGTGGCGATCAATACTCCGACGGCTTCAGCTGCGACGACTGCTCCGGCCTGCGCCAGGCCGCTGAATCTGACAGCCGTCTCGATCTCCTCCTCCGCCGCCACTACCCCCTTCTCTGCAGCCTCAATCCCCTTCTCCGCCGCCACGATTCCTTTATCCGCCGCGTCGAAGCCTTCCTTCACGATCTCCTCCGCCTGCTCCTCCGCCTTCCGAAGGTTGCGCCTCAGCCCGAACAGAGGTATGTCCTGCGCTCTCGAAGGCATCTCCGAAACCGTCAAAGCCGTCGTGGCGGTGAGGAGTAGCAAGCACTGCCTACGCGTCGGAAGCACCACCGCCGGCGCATGCTGTCTGGCGTGCGCCTTTCCCGGAGCGGAGTGCGGAGGGAGAGATTGTGCTACGATGAGTGAGCTTCTGCAGGCCATTGGATTTTTGTTGCGTCACCGAAAAAATGATCCTCTCTCTCAATTCGTTTGGACGAACTGCGATGATTATGTATGTGGTCTGGCTTTGCCCCTGGTTCATATCTTGCAAATTTACCAAAAAGCCCCAATCCCACAACGCACAAATAAATCAAAAAAGAAAAATAATAATCAAATTTAAAACTCTAGAATTATTTACAATTTTAAAAAGTAGAAACTTAAAGTATTTGGGCCAATAGCGGGTCAGGCTTGGCGGACGGGCCGCCCAGCCCGTGAAGTATAACTGAGGCTCAGTCCGTGTAATTACATTGCTGGGCTGGGCGGGCTGAATCCATGGGCTTGCTGCCGGCGGGCTTCACAGGCCTGGGCAGAGAGCGGGCCGTGGGCCGAAATTTGTCCATCACTAGTTTGGGATAATATGGCTCTAGTTGACTGTGGGTCAACGTGGACTTGTATAATAATGTTTAGGGGTGAGCAAAAAAACCGAATAACCGAAAAAACCGAGCCGTTTCAAACCGTACCAAATAGCAAACCGCATGTACGGTTTTTTATTTTTGAAATACCGAATTATTCGGTTCGGTATGGTGGAAAGGTAAAAAACCGAACCGAAAAAACGAACCGAACTGAAACTATAAAATGACTTCATTTTATATAATATATGTATTATTTTACCCTAATTTTTATTTTCTATCTTTCAATTACTTGTCTCATTCTAAGTATTTGTTCATAAATTGAGACATTGTATTTTATTTATTTAGTAATTAATAATTTATTTGAGTTCATAGTTTTAATAATGTGGTAGATGAAAGTAGGAAAATAAAATGAAGCATAATACATCATCTAAATTACGTTAAGTCCTATGGAATTAAAGATTTTTTATTTTCATTGCATTAGTAAGTTGTGAAAGTAATTGTAATTGTATTCTTTTGTTTGTACAACTTGAATATATAGTTACTTTTGAACCGAAAAATAACCGAAACTGAACCGAAAAAACCGAAACCGAAAGAAACTGAACCGATAAAAAACCAACATACACGATTTTTAATTTTACAAAAACCGATATATTCGGTTCATGTTCGGTTTTAGCCAAAAACCGAACCGAACCGATCCGTGCACACCCCTAATAATGTTGGATCAACTTGAACCTATTGATATGTGTCTTGTGGACCTATTGTGTTGAATTTTATTTAAAAATAAAAAATAAAAAAAAAAAGTTAAAATTACAAATACCTCCCTTAGGTAAAGTGTAATTACTAAAAAATCCCTTATTTTTTAGAAACTGCATCCATCCCCCATGCAGTTTGTAAACATCCAACATTCACCCCCACAAAAGATTGTTAATGTAAGAAATCTACAAATTGAAGGGTCCAAAAATAATTATGGAAAAATTAGGGGTTTTACGTAAATATAACTTACCTCGGGGAGGTTTTTTTCGAATGGTTAGTTGGGAAATCACATCATATTTTAAGGCGCCAACTTTCTGATGAACAGTCACAAACTTTCATGTGATGATGAAATAATATATATTCCTAACTACTGTTTTTGTTTCATCTTGCCTGGATCTACCCTCCCCACAATTGTTCTTCAACCTCAATTACATGATCAACGGCCTGGATTTTCTTGCCAAAAATAAATAAGATAATCTCCGATTTTCTTTTTTTATTAGTTGGTGTTGTTGTCACCTTTTATTTACAGTAAGTGGTTATTTGACAACCAATTAATTGAAAAAAAACACATGCAAACAAACAAACAAATAAATAAAAGAAAGTTAGAACATAGGCTTGTTGGCTAACTAAGTAACAAGAAAAATAATCCGTTATTTCCTAAGTCTAGGTCTCTTATTTGATGATTTTGATGTCAATAATAAAAATACTATATAATGGTGGATTAGATGCCCTAATTAGCAAAGCATCAAAGTCAGTTCAAAATCAATCTTGGGATAATTATTAATTAGCAGGAAATTAATTAATAATTATTGAATTAGAAAGAATTATGTGTTACAGAGTTGAGTGCAAGAAATGTGGGAAATACTCATGGGGAGGGTGTGGAAAACATTTAACCACACTATATGCAAATATTGAAAAAGGAAAGCACTGCATCTGCAAATCTTGGCCTGGTGTTGTTATTCCATCTCAAAATCATCTTTCTGAATCTTCCTCAACCACCCAAGGTACATGTATTATTTTTGGGTAAATTACAATCAACCCCTGAGTTATGTTATAATAACTTTAAGGTACATGTGGTATTGATAATTACAAATACTCCTGAAACTAACTCAAAGTTACAAATCCTAACGTTAAGGGTGGTTGTAATTATCAATACCATATCATACCCACGTAATTACAACCACTCCCCGACATCAGGGTTTGTTCTAACATTCAGTTTGCTATAGGGGCTGATTGTAATTGTCAATATCATATGGACCTTAAAGTTATTATAACAAACTTTAGGGGGTTGGTTGTGATTTACCCATGTTTTTTTTCTTAATTATAGTTTCGTAATTTTACGTGATGAGAACATATATAATTTAGACTTCGATGTGTCCATTGAAAACGGTGGTAGGGCGAAAATTCATTAAATGGATGAAAACAAAGGTGGGAACCAATAAATTAAAACTTGAAATGTGTTGATGAATTGGAATTGAAGCAATGAATATTTGAAATAGATGAGGAAATTAAATTGATGGGGTCCCAATTATTCGCATATACCAAATCCGGTTGCTCTAATATAACTGCATTTTGTTGTGTGGTAACTGGTAACTATCGTTGGAGTATAATATACTATCTATGGAGTATCTAAATATTTTTCATGATTAGTGAATTTATTATTTAGGTATCGTGTCACATTAATTCAATGAGTACAATTTTTTTATTATTTGGTGTTTTATTTAATTTATCGACCGACTCATTCATATATGGATCGGTTAGTTATCGGTTATCGACCACAAAAAATGGATCGGTTAGTTATCGGTTATCGACCACAAAAAATGGATCGGTTGGCCGACCCATGGCCAACCCTCACTTATGGTAGTACTTAAATAAAATACAAAATTGAAATATATTTTACAAAATAACGGATATTGAATAGTGCCATGAAAACAATGTTGCAATTTAAGCCACTAAGCATGAAAATGACAAGATTATGACAAAACAAATGAGGCACAGACAATCAATCAGAAGAAGCCAGATTTTGGGCAATTATTAAAACACGACTTATTGGCAATATGTGCATAAATCGTAGTTATTATTTCAGCATTAAAAATTATTAGCTCTATTTTTTTTTTAATAATTATTCATTTCTGCAGAGAAAACAACATCTTGAAGATGCCTTCAGCTGAGAATAACGGAGGGCTTATTATATTGTAATTTTAATTTTATTTAAATATCCAAGTCTTATTATAAATTTTACTGAAGTGAATTATAATATTATGCAGTGTGCAAATTCAGGTCAATGAACATTGACCAATAATGCAAGCACTTAATTTGTTACTACTAATTATGCATAATTAATTTTCTCTAAACCTAGTGCAGGGTGCCTTAATTATATTTAAAACTTTACACACAGTCACGGGGTTTGTGCGCTTTTTGGAGTATCTTGTTCTGATCTATGTGCTTTCTTTCTTTCCAAACCCACTGTTTACCCCTATTACTTTACCGTTAACCATTTATTAGTGGCCCCATAATAATAATTATTATTATTATTACACTAAGTATTTAGCAATAATAATTTAAAATTATTAGTGTTTAATTATTTGTATTAGCAAGTGGGAAGCAAGTATTCGTCCCATGGGCACAAAATCTTGACTCGTGTTCCTCGCCCATGTTCTTCCAATTTATTTTTTAATACATCTTAATTGTTTTATTACTAATTAAATTTGATTAAGCGTGGGGTTAATTGCATGTTACGTTTTGCTTAGGTAAGTTGAAAATTGGCCTAGATAGATAGAGTTCTTTATTTATGAGACAAAAATATTTTGATTTAAGTAATTTAAAAAAATTTTATATGCTCACCGTCGGTTTATAAGCTTAACCAAACGCCCTCTCTTATCAGTTAAATTAATTTTTGAATATCGAAATAATTTTGATATTTCTAGTTTTTTGTCATTTAATTGTCCTACAAACAATGGGTCCAATATGTAATTATAGTCTAAAATAAAATGTGGCTGTCATTTAATTCCTTCAATTTCACTCACCTTTTCTATTAAGGATTATTCGTTGTAGCTAGGCTATCAATTTTCAGTTCATTCACATGCACATTTGATGACATTTATATATGTTCTTGCAAATCTGAAAATAAATTGAAGTTAATGACATTGATACTTTGGAATCTTTTTATACTCGAGTAAAACAGTTAATCTGTTGGCTGTCTGAAAAACCAAATCTTATTAGTAAATATTATTAATTATACTCATAAAAATACATCCATAATTATATTCCATGGCAGCTCAATAAATATTGTACTCAGTGGTTTTCCTGGCCAGATTCAAATTATATATTTGAGCACTTATTTTTATTTCTTTTTTGTAATAAATTTTCACTTATGCAAATATATAAATACATTTAATACTGTAGCTGCAGGTGGGGTATTTGTCAATTAAAATTAAAAAAAAAAACTAAAAATTTAACTTCAAAAGGTGAAATCTTCGTCCGAACCGAAGGCTCCTCGTTGCGTTGAAATTCTCACATTGCGGCTGCTCGAACTCGATTATACCGATTTTACCACCACCGGGCCCAGGTCATATTATTAACTGTGGGTTGTGCAAACATAGAGAAATTACTACTGCTTTGTAATTTTGAAATTTGAAAAGGACTCGTGTGATATTAATTATATACCTACTTAGATGTCAGTAAATTAATACAGCAATTAATGTAAATGCAAGAAAGCGTACAAAGGGTAGATATGTTTTCATTAATACCAAGAATGAAGAAGTGGAGCACATATACACTGTCTCTGCTTCCATTTTTGTAGCTGTAACCATTTCTTCTATTAAAAAATTATCTCAGACAATATTTTATTTTATTTTTTTATGGATCTTAGTGTTTGATTAATTCATGGAAAATACGTGACCAACTAAACCACAAGGTGTGTTTTTTGTGTTTCTGTGTTAATTTATAGGATTAAATATTAATGGTTAATACATTACTAATGTAATCAACTAATTAGACCTTGTGGAAAACATATAGAAAAAGCCAATTGATAGTGTATATAATTATCGATCAACAAACTTTTCAATAGATTAGGACCTATCAACCGATTCAAGTATATCGATTGAAATTATAGGTTTGACGTTAATGAATCAATTATAGGTCGAACGTCGGTGTACAAGTCGCTCATGATTACAAAAATTCATCACGGTTTACATATCTTAAACCGCGAACGAGAATGAGCGATACAAATTTATATCGTAACAAGCAACAACGAACATGTAATAACAATAGTCAAATTCGTCAAGTAATTAAATTCGACAATTGAATGTAATTTCCAAGTTTTGGAAAAAAAACCAGGTATTAATTACTAATAAACTTTAATACATCAAATAAAATAAATAATAAAACAAGTATGACAACCTCAAAAGCAAAAAGGAAATATCATTGGGGAATTAATTAGAGGTTAGCCATGAATGAATGATTGATGAGGTTGGGGTTGCAATTGAGTCGAGGCCCATGCAATCCCAGCTACTTTTATAATTAAATTAATAAATCACCATCATCATCATCGTAGTTAAAAATCATCATAATTACCCCCAAAAGAAAAACCAGTTTCTTTTTACTATAAAGCAAAGATTCAAAATCACACACTTCTTTTTTTTTTCTAAAATCCAAACAACCCTTTTTCTTTTTATTTTTCTCCCCCACCACCATTAGAGAAGATTCTGATCTGATTCAAGAAAAAGGGTAACAATCAATAACCCATCATCTTCTAGCTTTGCCTTTATCGATTTCTGCTTAAAAACACCCCATTTGTCAATTGTCCCATCTCTCACTTAATTTCTTTCTTCCCTCCTCATTTTTCAAATCAATCTTTTTGCTACCTACTCCACCTCCAAAAATCAAAACATAATCATTTTCCACAAACATAATCATTTCCATAAGAAAAGTTTTCATTTTTCAGTCAAATCCCAACTTTCCAGCTTCATGGAGGAAAGGAAAATGGCAGCAGAGAAACCCAGTTCCAAAGGCCAAGCATGGTGAGCTTCATTTTTTTTCTTCTTCTTTTTCTCTGAACTTGTTTTTGTCTTCAACCTGTTTGATTAAATGTCTGAACTAATTTGTTTTTTTGGGTTTCAGGTTCTGCACTACAGGTTTACCTAGTGATGTTATAATCGAGGTTGACGATATGACTTTCCATCTTCACAAGGTCTGTCTTTTCTTCCTCCTGCTAAAAAAAAAAAAAAAAAAAAAAAAACAGAAAAAAAAAGAGCTCACCTGAGTTGTTATTTTTTTTGTATTATTGTGTCTGTTTTCTTGTGAATAATGAATAATAGTGGTTGATTTGTTGCAGTTCCCACTAATGTCAAAAAGTAGAAAGCTTCACGAGCTCATAACAGAACAAGAGAACATGCCACTAGCAAGAAGAACAGCAAGCATCCAAACGCCGTCTGAGCACAACCACCACTTCGACAACGACGTTGTAGAGAGAGAAGAAATCCGAGAAGAGCAGGAAAACGATGAAGATGACGAAGAGCAGTGTCACATCACTCTCCCATATTTCCCGGGGGGTTCCGATTCGTTCGAGTCCGCCGCGAAATTCTGTTACGGCGTTAAAATAGATCTCTCCGCCACCAACGCCGCCCCACTCCGCTGCGCCGGAGAATACTTGGAGATGACGGAGGAGTACTCGGAAGATAACCTCATTTCCAAGACGGAAAGGTTTCTCTCACAGTCGGTTCTCAAAAACATCAAACACTCCATCAAAACCCTAACCGCCTGCGAAAAATTGGGGCCAATGGCGGAAGAGTTGGGGATTACGCAGAGATGCATTGAAGCCGTTGCGGCCAAAGCCGCCGCCTCAGATCCGTCGCTGTTCGGGTGGCCGGTGAACGACGGAGCTACAAACTATGAAGGTCTGAATGAAGTAAACACTCGGAGGAAATTGATTGCCGGAGCAGGAGCTCCGGCTGTAGATTCATGGCTGGACGACCTAGGGTTTTTGAGTTTGCCGTTTTTCAAACGCTTGATTTTCGCCATGAAAGCTTTGAATCTGAGTGGGGAAATTATCGAGAGTTGCTTGATTCACTACGCCAAGAAGTACATTCCCGGAATTTCGCGCACAACTCGAAAGCCGCCGCCGTCGTCGTCTTCCACCACCACCACTGCGCCGCCGACGGAGAACGAGCAGAGAGAGCTTCTAGAGACGATTATTTCGAATCTGCCGAAGGAGAAGACCACATTGCGTTCAGCATCAAACGCCACGCGGCTTTTATTTGGATTATTACGAACGGCGTATATTTTGAATGCTTCGGAAGCTTGCAGATTAACATTGGAGAAGAAAATCGGATCTCAATTAGAGCAAGCTACATTAGACGATTTGCTGATTCCGAGCTATTCGTACTTGAATGAAACGCTGTACGATGTGGATTGTGTGGAGAGAATTCTAGGGTATTTTCTCGAGGTGATGGAGGAGAGAGATCTGACTGGAATTGAAGGTGAAGATGAGAATCACAGCGTCAGATCCGCCGCGTTGATGGTGGTCGGAAAGTTGATCGACGGCTACTTGTCGGAAATTGCCTCCGACGCGAATTTGAAGCCGGAGAAATTCTTCGATCTCGCCGTAGCTCTGCCGGATCACGCCAGAGTTTTTGACGACGGACTTTATCGAGCGGTTGATGTTTATCTTAAGGTGAGAAATATTTTTAGAAACGAAATTTATAATTAATTTTTTTTTTTTATATATATTCTGAAGATTCGAATTTCGATTTGTGAATATCCGTTAGGCGCATCCATGGATATCGGAGGTGGATAGAGAGAAGATCTGCGGAATTTTGGACTGCCAGAAACTGACGCTGGAGGCGTGCACCCACGCGGCGCAGAACGAGCGGCTGCCGCTGAGGGCGGTGGTGCAGGTGCTGTTCTTCGAGCAGCTTCAGCTCCGCCACGCCATCGCCGGAACTCTGATCGCCGGTGATTCGGGTACGGTGGTGGAGGATGGGCGGCTGTCCAGTCGCGGCGGTGGGGAGGAAGAGGAAGATGAGGAGGCGAACGAGGCGGAGGCGCGTGCGCATGATGGAGGCGGCGCGTACAGAGCGGCGGTGAGGGAGAATCAGGTGCTGCGGCTGGACATGGATAGCATGAGGACGCGGGTGCACGAGCTAGAACGGGAGTGCACCACGATGAAGAAAGCGATACAGAAGATAGACAAGACGGACCCACGGGGACACGTGGAGAAAGGTGGTTGGCGGTCCAAGTTCGGTTGCAAATTCAAGACACAAGTGTGCGATTCACACGAGCCGACTGTGGTGGACGCCAGAAAGGCCCGCGCCCACCGCCGGGAACAACATTAAATTAAAGTCCTCAATAAATTCAAATCCTTCCAATTTTTACTTTTCATTCGTCCTTTTTTTTTTTTTTTTGGTTGTGTGAATATAAGTAATTTATGAGATTTGTCATTTGTTCGAAATTGGTTTTATTAAATTATTAATTAAATAAAATTGTGATGAAAAAAATAAAAAAAGAGGGCCTAAAAAGTGGGCTTTATTCCGGTATATGGGAATAGTTTTGGCAGGTAGTAGAGAATAGTAGATAAAAGTGGTCACAATTCTTTTAAGATGTTTTAATTTTTGCCAGATGAAAAGGCCAAAACACCAGGTAGTGGGTGTGTGTGTGTGTGTGTGTGTGTATCTGCATATATATATATATATATATATTTGGTAATGCTTATCAATTTGGGTGTTTGTCGGTACTTTGTTTTCCTACCATCCTCTTTATGGTTTAAATGCCCACATTCTTTTCTCTCACTATATATATACAAATTTATTAATGAAAAAACAAAATTATTATTTCACTAAATGGGCCGTATAAAGGCCTCATAAGGCAATATGTAAATCTGGCCCGATAGTTTTTTTTTTTTTTTTTTGGGTCTAGCCCCTCAATACTTTTGATAAATACGGATCTCCCAAGAATTGTACACATAACTCATGCATTAATGGAATTACATAAAAGCCCCCAAAAATAAAAATAAACAGTTTGGATCCGTAAAACGGGCAGTGTTTTCGGGCAGGGGTACACAAGTGGCCCCCACTCCCCTTCCCTTCGGACATGGTTGAAGAAAAGAAACACAACTGCCACTCTGTTTTTTTTTTGGTCATCTCCTATAAATACCAATTAAAAAACAAAAAAAAACTTCGGATTATATAAATTTAAATTAGCGATCAAGAATATAATCAAGAGAAAGAAAGAAAGAAAGAAAAAAAAAAAATGGGGAGAATTGATTACTTAGCGATGAAAACCGATCAAGAAACGGCGGCGTTGCTCGATTCCGACTTCAACGAGCTGAAAATCGCCGCCAAGAAACTTATCAGCCACGCCACCAAATTCGGCGCAGCCGCCGTCGGCACCAGCTTCCTCAAATGGGTCGCCTCCTTCGCTGCCATGCAAGTTCAATTTTCTCACACAACACGAAGTCTATATGTATATATGTGTGTATATGTAATAAAATAACAATTTCTAATAAAATTGCAGCTACCTGTTGATCTTGGATCGGACAAACTGGAGAACAAACATGCTGACGTCACTTCTGGTTCCTTATATTTTCTTCAGTCTGCCCTCAGTTCTCTTCAGCTTTCTTAGGTATATATATATATAATATAATCTTCACATTAATTATAGTTAATTTAATTAGCAGCTAATTATATATGAAATAACGGTACTGCAGGGGAGAAGTTGGTAAATGGATTGCATTCATAGCAGTAGTACTAAGGCTGTTCTTCCCCCGACACTTCCCGGGTAACTAGTAATAATTAAATTAAATTAAATTAAATTGTAATTAATTAATTAATTAATCTCGTGATATATATGTAACTACAGATTGGCTGGAGATGCCGGGATCGTTGATTCTACTACTGGTAGTTTCGCCGGATTTCTTTGCGACTACGATGAGAGAGCACTGGATCGGAGTGGCGATATGTCTTGCAATAGGCTGTTACCTAATGCAAGAGCATATCCGAGCTTCCGGAGGGTTCCGGAACTCGTTCACACAGAGCCACGGAATATCGAACACGTTGGGAATTATTCTCTTGATTGTTTTCCCGATCTGGGCTTTGCTCACACGAGTTGTTTGATGCACGTCTTCTTCGTGCATACCTACACGAAGTTGAATATTCGGTTGGTGGGAATTCTTTGCATTGACTCTGTATTTTTTTCCTTTTTGTATAAGCTGTTGGAATTATTTAAGCTCAAGTTTGTGTGTGCACATCATTAATAATCGAGATAATCGCCGTCCATTTGTTTTCGTCGCTTTCATAGTTCATGAAATTCGAAAAATGTAACAATTTGCGATATTAAAAAGAAGAGAATTTATTAAATTGTAGGAATTTCGGAATTATGTTGAAATTAATCTATGCAACCTATCAAAAGCTCTTACGTATGCAATTAGTCTAGCAATTCCCTTTATGAAATGCTGCATTAGGTGGAATGCACCGATAATTACATAAATAATGACTCACTCAGCACACATACATGTGGGTATGTGTGTTTTTATGCCTACATCATTGGTACGAAATCACTCACATGTATCGCATTAAGTATAGCAACTAGGGGTGGGCATTCGGGTCGGGTCGGGTTATTCGGGTCGGGTTATTCGGGTTTTTTGCAAAAAAAAAATTACCCGAACCCGACCCGAGATAACCGGGTACCCGGCAACCCGGGTACCCGGTTATTTCGGGTCGGGTTCGGGTCGGGTTCGGGTTTTGCTATTTTCCTCTTTTTTTTTTTTTTTTTTTTTTTTTTTTTTTAAGGTATACATATATATACAGACATATATATATAGCAATATACATATGCATATACTGATATACATATATATATATTATATATATATATATATATAGACAGATACATATACTGATATACATATATATATTTATATATATATATATATACATATACATATACTGATATACATATATATATATATACACACACACAGACATATACATATATATACATACAAATATAGACATATATATATATAGTATGTATTACAGACATATATACAGTTAAACCTCTATAAATTAATAAAGTTAGGACTATCAAAATTTCATTAATTTAGCCAAATATTAACTTATCGATAAATTAATAATTATTAATTTATACATTAATTAATAAATTATTAATTTATGAAATTACTTTTATTATTATTGTCAATAAATGTATTTTTTTAATTTTTTTACATGTATATTATTCATTGTATCATTAGTTCAATGCGCTAAAGAGCCCGTTTCACAAACGGACGCTCTTAAAGCAACAATGGTATAAAACGATTTTATGTTGAGTTATGACAAAACTATACTGAAAGTTCTAACCTTGTTAAGAAAAGTGAGGGACGAGATTGATGATAATGTGAACTTCAATAAGAAATAAGCGACAATTAAATTGTATTGTATTAAGCCTTCATAGATCTATAAAATATGTAATGTACCTTGTAATTTAAAAATTATTTTTATGCATTATTAATTTATATATTATATGGGGCTTCTTAAAATTTTCGAATGTGTATTATCTTATAAATTTAGCGAATTATTAATTTATCACGTTGTCCCCGAGTCGGGACCGGAAAAATTTATTATTTAAGCGAGATTATTAATTTATCGCGTATTAATTTATCGAGGTTCTACTGTATATATATATATATATATATATATATATATATATATATATATATATATATATATATATATATATATATATATATATATATATATAATTTTTTTTTTTTTTAAACCGGGTACCCGATCGGGTACCCGGGTAGAATTTCTATTACCCGGACCCGACCCGGTTTGGGATCACCGGGTACCCGAACCCGGGAAAAACCCGGTTATGTAAAAAATTACCCGATCCGATCGGGTAATACCCGACCGGGTCGGGTTATACCCGAATAACCCGACCCGAATGCCCACCCCTAATAGCAACTACAAAACGGTATGACAGAACAAACAAACTAGTATTAATTATGATTGTTTTTCTAAAGAAAATTATAGAAGAATACTAAGAAGAAATACAAGTTGAGGGGCCAAAATTGAATTTTGGTACAAGATTAAGCTCGAAATTAAATTATCTAAAGAAAATTGAATTTTGGTACAAGAATACTAGTCAATTAATGTTCGACTTTATAGTAATTTAAAAAAAAAAAAAAAGATCAACTCATTTTCAGGCCCCTTTTGGTTGGAGGGACGGGATGGGATGAGATTGGGGCTTAATTGAAAAATGACACTGTATGGATTAGTGAAGTATGGATTGTATATCAGGTTTGGTTGGTTGGATATGGATCTGTAGGATTCAATCCGGATGAGCCAATCTCAGGAATGGTTGGGAGGATTGGGTGGGATAATGTGGTTAATTACATTACCACCCCTTGGAAGGTATTTTTATTATTAGTTTATACATCTGAAAATTTTAAATTATTGCCAACTGCACTCATTATTTTCTCTCATTTTCCTGTAATTATAAAATCAACCCTAACATTTTCGGATAATTACATTTCCACCCCTCATAATCCCTTTTTATTATTATATTACCCCAGTAATTTTTACAATATTGCTTGTTGCACCCATTTTTTTCCTCCCATTCACTTTTAATTACAAAATCAGCCCTAACATTTTCGTATAATTACATATTCATCCCTTGCAAGCCCTTTTTATTATTATATTATACACCCGACAATGTTAAAAATATTGTTTACACCACCCATTCTTTCCTCCCATTTTACTGTAACTATGAAATCAGCCCCAACATTTTGGATAATTACATTTCAACCCCTTGTAACCCCTTTATATTTATTTATATTATACACCTGACAATTTGTAAAATATTTCTTTGCAGCACCAATCCTTTCCTCCCATTTTCTTTTAATTACAAAATCAGCCCTAACATTTTTTGATGATTACATTTCCACCCCTTGCAAGACCTTTTTATTATTATATTATACGCATGACAATATTTAAACAACCGATTCTTTCCTCCCATTTTACTGTAATTATAAAATCAGCCCTCACATTTTTGGATAATTACATTTCCACCGCTTGCAACCCCTTTTTATTATTATATTATACACCTGACATTGCGCAAAATATTTCTCTGCTGCACCCATTCTTTGTAAAATATAATTGCAATACTTTCCCCTCTATCGAGATTGCAGGAGAGGAGTGAAGCAAACACAGTGTAAATTCTCTTAAAACACTTTTTGCATTATTTACAATATCAATATTATATTATATTAAATTACATACAATCTTGCCTTCATTCATAACTTATGGATAATACATTTGCAGCACTTTACCCTCTATCGAGCTTGCAGGAGAGGAGTAAATGAAGAATTGTGTAAATTCTTTTAAAACAATTTATGCATTATTTACAATATCAAAGTTGTAGTATATTAAATTACTCTATACATTTTTGTATTCAAAAGAAACAAGAAGAATGTGTTTGCTGCAACTATATCCTCTTCCATTTGCTGCAACTATATCCTCTTCCATCTTCCCTCATATATCAATCAACCACATTACTTCCCTCATGTGTCAATCAACCACATCAATGACATGAGAGAATATTATGTCAAAAATGGATCCGATAAGATATTCACCTCCATACTTTCAATTATTGCTTATGTTTTCATGGTGATAAAGGGTCTCTTATTCATGTAGTTACTACTCTATTTAAGGAACATCCGAAAGGAATTTACCATAACCATTTCCACCATAGCATTAATATTCCTAAGAAAATCGAAAAAAATGGCTCCTAAGAAGTCAATAATTTTCCGTCAAGAAGACTTTTTGTACGAGTTAAACTGGGATCAAAAGATCGATGGCACATTCATACAAGTTTTGGCGTACGAGGCACGGGTCGGCAACTTCGTTGTTGGAAATGACAACAACTCATCACTCATCATGGCACAAACCGTGATCCAAAAAAAGCACGGTGAGTTTTTCTCACTCAAGTACATTTGTAAGAAATTGGGGATCTTAAAGACTAGGCATACAACTTTCGGCTACATGTTATCACTTCCGGGGGTCTTATACAATGAAACAAGTAACGTGGTCACCGCATCCGATGAGGTTTGGAAAACAATCTTGAAGGTAATTTGTTTTGGTTTATGTTTCGCTTTCTTAATTATTTGAATAGTTGTTGAGTGTAATATATTTTTGAAACAATATTTTCCTTTCTTAGGCACACACTTTCGCTTTCGCGTATCGGACATATGGGGATAGCGAATGGGAGGAACTAAAGACTATATTTGCACCTCGTGTCATCGAAAAAAACCCGGGCGATGAGGTGATTGTTTTGTCATCGGACGACGATGAAGCGGCTCCGCCGGTGCCGATTCCAAGCATGGTTGATTTTCGAGGCAACGACAACACTCTTGGTTTCGGTAACCCGATGCCACCAACAACGGTGGTCAATATTTCCTCGGATTCTAGTAGCACACACTTCAATGTGTGGGACTACCTCAATCACTTTTCGGATTCCGAGGGTTCGTTAAACACCGAGGGTAGCACCGCTAATTCGAGAGTTCGGCGTCCGGTGTCGGGCCCATCACCTTTGAAGCCGAAAGATAAATCAATGCCGAGGCCCCGCAATATTGCAAATTTGTTTGGATTGAGTTCGTCGGGGTCAAACCATCCCTCGAATAAGGATAACGGCAAGGGACCAATCGATGGGGCAAACGATTACTAGGTCATACTTTGACGCATGTGTTGTACTTGGAGACTCCATTGATCAATGAATAAAAAACATAATCAACTTGTTTGCAGTGATAAAGAATAATGCGTATATGATGAATATAGTTGGGCTTAATTACACCCATAATTATTAATTAGTGATTAACGATTAAGTTAAGGAAGTCGGGCCAGCCCAAATAAATGTTAGGTCAATTGGGGGCTGTCGTCTAAGCGCAAACCCTAACCCAAACCCTAGAAATGAAAATTGGAAATCAGCATAAGTACATGAAGCTATCGCAAGTAGAATCGATCAAATTACAGCTTCCACTTCTCTCAATTGCCCCAACCCACTCTCCTCACACTTCAATCATCTCTAATTCTACTCGTTTTTTTCCCCAAATTCAGGTATTTATAAGCTCATCGTTTTTCTATCTCTGTAATCATTATTTTTTTTTGTGTGTGTTTCTCGGTGATGAACAATCTAAGATGACGAGTCCGATCGAAATCCATTCGTTATAAAATCGTGACGACGAAACGAGGCATTTGTCTGAGAGAAACCCCAATTTCGACCAAAGATTTAATTTTTAGTATTTTTTTTCAACCAAAGATTTCATTTTTATTGTATTCTTGGTTGAATAATACAGTCTTTGTTTATGCAAGTTTATTTGTGGTGGGCACAATGAGGATAAACAGTTGATCTGAAAAATTCATTGATTGTATTTTCAACCTCCTACTCATTCTGAGTGCCCTCTACTCCAATTTATCTCTCTTATTTTTCAGGTTTTTTTTATTTGATTTTGAAAATTAAATAAATTTTATTTTTCTTACCACTATTTCAAGTATTTTCTCATGTGCCATCATTGCTAAATGCTAATCAATTGTGAAGTTTGTTTAAAGTCTTGTTGTGGCCATGAGGAATTGTTTTATTTATTCATATTTGAGAGTTATAAGTTATAATTCCAAATGCTTTGAAAAAATAATTGTTTTTTTAAAATATGAAAATGTGGCAATGATGATAAAATCTAACACTCCCTTTTGTGGGATTGAGGTAACCTCTCAAATCGTTTCATTTGAGTAGTGAACTATGATTTGTTTTTCAAGCACTTTTGAGCCACTTTTATGTTCCTCTTCCTTTTAAATTACATTTTTTATTTATATATATATATATATATATATATATATATATATATATATATATATTATATAAAATATATTATAAAATATATTGCATATTATTTTAGTACTATTTCACACGAGTTGGGCCTTGTGAAGTTAGTCTTGTTATTTGGAGTATGAAGTTGGGCCATAATTTGATGAAGAGGCCCAAATGGGTGAATCGTTGACCACCCACAGAATCGTGTTATTAGGGAGTTTTTTTTTTTTTTTTAGTAATTACTAAAACTATGTTTTAAACTTGTGTTACTGAACAAATGTACAGCCAGTATTGTTTGACAAAGAATGTGAAATATTTCAGCATTAAACCTATTTTTTTTTAATCATTGTAAATTTATGGTTATCATGCCAAGTGCCAACAACTGAATGAAGCAATGAAGGCTTAATTATGTGTTTCATGTAATAGTCATTTAACATTATAGTGAAAGATGTTATCTTTCTCAAGTTTAAAAGTGAAAAAAATGTAATCTTTCTGAAGTTAATTGATGTGGTACAGTACCATTAAAAATATATATATATAATAGGAATTAGGAACAAGAAATAACATAAGGGGTAAAATAGAAAATCAGATTTTTAATACAATACTTGCCATTGTGTTGTTGTAAACGTGGCTGTCAATCAACATAAAACAGAAACTCTCCCCCATGGGAGAAGTAAAGTAAATACTAAATAATATCTTTATCCAGAAAACCAGGAAATCCACGTGGCAAGCCACAGAACCAGTGAGACCAGATGAGATCAACCAATGAAAAAACACCTTATCCTATCTCTTATCTCAAAGAAAAACACTCAAATCACAGCAAAACCACCAACATAATCTGCCCTCCTTCAGACCACACTTCCCACTTTGTAATAAGAAGAAACAAAAGAGTAAAAAAAGAGAGAGAGAACATAAAAATGGCAACCTCACTACAGGCGGCTGCCACCCTCATGCAGCCGACGAAAGTCGGCGTCTCAGCCAGAAGCAGCCTACAGCTCCGATCAGCTCAAAACGTCAGCAGGTCATTCGGCTTCGAACCGGCCGGTTCAAGGCTCACCTGCTCTCTTCAGTCCGATCTCAAAGACTTGGCCCAGAAATGCACCGATGCCGCCAAGATTGCCGGCTTCGCTCTCGCCACTTCTGCACTCGTTGCCTCGGTATCTCCAATATTCTTTCATGTTCATTTAATAGCTTCAAATTCAAATAGCTGCAACTTAAATTAACTAGAGATTAGTCATAAATCATAATCATATTGTAGAGAAATGATAATAAATGTATATATATCACGAATTGAATGAAGATTCACCTGTGTTTTGGGTAGGGAGCAAGTGCTGAAGGAGTTCCGAAAAGGCTAACCTTCGACGAAATCCAGAGCAAGACCTACATGGAAGTGAAGGGAACCGGAACAGCCAACCAGTGCCCCACCCTAGACGGTGGTTCCGACAGCTTCGCCTTCAAATCCGGCAAGTACACCGCCAAGAAGTTCTGCCTCGAGCCAACCTCATTCACCGTCAAGGCCGAAGGCGTAAGCAAGAACTCACCAGCTGAGTTCCAGAAGACCAAGCTCATGACCCGTTTGACCTACACCCTGGACGAAATCGAGGGACCCTTCGAGGTATCTCAGGACGGTACAGTCAAGTTCGAGGAGAAGGACGGAATAGACTACGCAGCAGTTACGGTGCAGCTCCCTGGAGGCGAGCGCGTCCCGTTCCTCTTCACGATCAAGCAGCTCGTGGCATCTGGCAAACCCGAGAGCTTCACCGGAGAGTTCCTTGTACCCTCGTACAGAGGATCTTCCTTCCTTGACCCAAAGGGCAGAGGTGGGTCCACTGGTTACGACAACGCTGTTGCGTTGCCAGCTGGCGGGAGGGGAGATGAGGAGGAGCTTGAGAAGGAGAACAACAAGAATGTGGCTGCTTTGACTGGGAAGATCACTTTGAGCGTGACCAAGAGCAAGCCCGAGACTGGAGAGGTTATTGGAGTGTTCGAGAGCATTCAGCCATCTGATACTGATTTGGGGTCCAAGGCCCCCAAAGATGTGAAGATTCAAGGTGTGTGGTATGCACAGCTCGACTCGTAGACTCTGTTATTTGATGTTTGTTGTAATGATTCTTCGGTTTTTGAGTTTTTGCTGTAACTGGGAAAAAAAAAGGGGATCATTGAAACTCCATTTATAGTGTTGGAGAAGAACTGAGATCACTATCATGCTTTGTATATTAGTGTGGTTTTTCTTTCAATCAATATATGTTCTTCAAATGATGATTAACGAAAGCAACTCGAACATGTTTAATGGAACTTACCAACTATATGCAGAATGATTATAATTGGACATAGCAGAAGAAATCGACGATAACATAGTAAATTCTCGAGCGTAAATAGTTATACCTTCTCATGGGAATATCTTCTTGTTTATTGCGATTTGACGATCTTTATTCCACGTATTTCTTGTCCATGGTTTTTTCTCTTTGACGAAACTGTATAGAATTTGGTTGCGTTTCACAGTATTCGATCCACTAGAAAACTCCAATAGTATGCTTCATCTTAATCAAATTCGAAGTGTGGTGTCACCAAAAATCACCACATGAACATATCCCATCCGTAAAATGGTGAAACCTCAAAGAGTCTCTAACAATCACTTGCACTCCTACAAACTTCGCTATGAACTTAATAGTGCTGTGACAATCACCGCATATCCTCAAATTCTTAAACACTGTAACGGAAGATTCGCCTTTCAAATGGAGTATACCAAAAGCAACAGCCAGCTTCTCGCTATGATTGCACAGACTATCTTCCTGCTCCTCCCCATCCAAATCTTGTAGAACAAACTCGGTATCAGGAAAATAACCAGCTAATTTCATCTTCAACCGTATTTCATCCAAAAATTTATAGATGTCATCGATCTTATCGTTACTCTTATCACCAACAACAAACGTATACACTCGATTCTTCACTCGAACCCAACTGCAGCCAGGAACTTTCCTAATCCCTCTGTCTCTCATCAACTTCCTCGTTTCAGAAGCTTCTCCCCACAGTTTGGCACTCACAAGGATGTTGAAGAGTAAAACATAATTCCCAGGATTATTCGGCTCAATTTCAAATAATCGGTTTGCAGCAGTTCGCCCTAGATCCACATTCTTATATATCCGACACCCTCCAAGTAAAGCTCCCCATGCACTTGGAGTTGGTTCAACGGGCATTTCTTGGATGAATTCATATGCCTCTGCTAAACGACCGCCACGGCTAAGAACATCAACCATGCAGGAATAATGCTCTACATCAGGTTCAACCTTATGATCCTTACTCATCGAATGGAAAATCGAGAGCCCCTCATCCACCATCTGTGAGTGGCTACAACCGGATAGAACACCTGTAAAAGTAACGGAGTTAGGTTTCACACCTAAGCCCACCATTTCATTGAAGAGCGATAAAGCTTCCTCTCCTCGGCCATGCATCGAGTTAGCAAGAATAATTGTGTTCCATACAACAGTGTCCTTCAACGGCATCGTACAAAATAGTCGTTTGGACATTTCTAAGTCACCACTCTTGGCATATATGAACATTAGTGCAGTACTGGCTGCCAAATCATCCATAAAACAGTGTCTGAAAATATACGCATGAATCTCCCTTCCTCCCTTCCAAACTTCTAACATAGTACAAGCAGTTAACAGGCTTGTAATGGTGATTTGATTGGGCTTGCATCCTAGTTTTTGCATGTCTCCAAGTAACTCTATTACTTCTTGTGCTTTTCCATTATCAGCGCACCCAGAAATGACAGAATTCCAAGAAACAATGTCTAACTTGACTCCTTGGCTTCTCATCTGAAGGAACTTGTTAAGTGCCTTTGTGCAGTCGCCGTTCGAAAAATATGCTGATATAATGACATTCCATGACACAACATCAAGCTGCGGCGTGTTATTAAACACTAATTCAGCATTCTTAATGCTCGAACAGCTAGAATACATATCCACAAGTGCACTATTCACAAACACATTATCTCCCATCCCATTCTTGATACCAAAACCATGAATCTCTCTCCCAAAATTTAAATACTTCAAATCCGAGCAAGCAGGAAGTATGGAAGACAATGTCATTGCGTTAGGCCTAGTTCCACTCAGACCCATTTGTCGGAAAACCCGAAGAGCTTTTATTGGAAGCCCGCAGTTAACGTAACAAGAGCAAAACGATGTCCAAGTAATCACATCCTTCATCTTTAAATCATCAAAGACTCTTTCTGCACCTTCAGAATACTTGCATTTCCCATACATGTCAATCAAAGCATTTCCCAACAGCAAATCTGAACTAACCCTGTAGTTCACAGCATCGAAATGAACTTCTTTCGCCTTCACTAAATCCCCCGAAACTGCACATGCCTTGGCAACGGCTAAAATGACAAACTTATCCGGATTAATCTTTCTGCTGTTTCTCAGTTCCGTATAAAGTTTTATCGCTTCTCGACATCGACCACTCCTTGTATAAGCTGAAATCAACAATGTCCATGACTGTACATCTGGGTGGGAAATTCCATCAAACAGTTGGCGGGCGCGTGCTAAATCTCCCGAATTCAAATACTTTTTGATGAAATTGATATTCAAATGAGGTGGGAGATTCGTGGGTACCTTTGAAAGCATCTGATTGTCAGCATTCAATCGCAAAACGAAGATTCCAGAAAATTAGAAGACCCCTTTCGTGTAAAGTAAAACAAAGGGTTGAACTCGAGTCATGAATCAAACTGTCGGCAATTAAGAGTTTACCAGCACCGAAGTCATAAACCTACTTGTCTAAAGAAAACAAGAAAAAATAATTGATGGCCCCCATGAAAGAGATTTAGAGTAATTTATTTGATTGCTCAATAATTTAATGGTGGAGGAGAATTGCCGGAGTGGGTGCTGCCGCCTGCTAATTTGACAAAGACTGCCCACCACACTTTGCAAAGTCGCATTTACCTCTTTGCGTTTTCTTTCATTTCCTTTTTTTTTTTTCCTCTACAATTATTTGACCATCTTTTTACTTAATTTTTTCCATTCAATTACATAAGGGCTGCGGCTATATGCAAGACTAAACCCACTTGTGCAAGACCAAATTAAAATTTTCAATGTATAAATACTATAATACCCTTACTTGTTAAAAAAATAAAAAATTCAAAATGTGCAAGACCAAAATTCAAAAACACAAAAAACCCTATCACAAGACCACAAAACCACAAGACCAACTTTCATCTTCTCCATCTTCCAAAAACCACAAGACCTTTCTCCTTCCTCTTCCATAAACCCACAAAACCTAAACATTCAAAATCATCAAAACTCAACAAATCTTACAAAGATGGAAAGTATGGAGTCAGAAGACATCAAAATAGAAGATTCTACGGTGGAAGAACCCAAGCAGGTATGCATTTATGGGTGTTTTAGCTAAAATATCGTTTTTCCAAAAAAAATCCCGCACAAACGAATTCAACATGTACATGTCGAATTTTATGGGTAAAAATCGACATCTAGATGTCGATTTTGAGCTATAAAATTCGACATTTGGACATGTCGAATTTGTGCTATAAATTCGACATGTCAATGTCGATTTATGCTTATAAAATTCGACGCTTAAGTGTCGATTTATAGCGTAACCTTTCGACACCTTGGTGTCGATTTTTACCAGTTTCAAATTTAATTTGTTTTTCCTCTTTTTGGCGGCGTTGCTGGGCAGGTTTGGATCACTCATGATTGTGAGCGGCGGGGCTGGCGGCGACGGCGATCGGTGGTGGAGCTTGGCCGGCGGAGCTTAGGCGACGGAGCTTGGGCGGCGAAGAAGGTGGGTCGGTAGGGTTTGAAGGAGGGTGTTGTTTCAATTCACGCAAAGTTTTCTTTTTTTGTTTTTTTGTTTTTATTTTTATTTTTTTAGTTTTTTCTTTTTGGTTTTTTTTTTGTTTTTTTTTTCCTCATTATTTTTGGTCTTGTATGAGAAAAAAAGGGCAAATTAACTTATGAGTATATTCGTCATTTCATCTTAATAAAATAGAATCTTTTGGAATCTTTTTTTAATTTGGTCTTACACAAGTAGAATGAGTATTGCATATAGCCGCAGCCTTACATAAGTTACCACTTTATTATACTAATAGTCAGTAAAAGTTCTCGAAGTATGTGTTATTATAGTAAAATAAATTAATTGATTTGATACTTGTTGGATTGCCCATAAGCCCAAATAATTAAAATCCTATAGCAAAGCTCAGTTGAGGTCCAGTCGACATGAGCCGACTTGTATTCCATAAAGGAAGGATGTGACTAGAGAAAAACAGAAATTCTGTAACATGGACCGGACAATAACATCCGCGAGCTCTTCTCATTTGAACTAACTCAACTCGCCTTCAGCATACAAACAACTCAAATTAATCGCATCAAACTCGCGCGCGAATATGATCATGACAGAAGGGGAGCTTACCACTCCGATACTAAAGTAAATATAAATACGGCCTTGAGAAGCAAGGAAGATGGATTGATATTAAACATAGAGTAAAAAGCAGTTTGCCGCCTGCTAATTTGAAAAAGACTGCCCACCACACTTTGCAAAGTCGCATTTACCTTTACAATGTTTTTCATTCATTTCCTTTTTTTCTTTCCTCTTCAATTATTTGACCATCTTTTTACTTAATTTGTTCCATTCAATTACACAAGTTACCACTTTATTATATTAATAGTTATGTAAATGCTACAATATTAAAGAAGCAATGTACTGAAATTCTAGAATTATGTGTTACTATAGTAAAAAAATGAATTGATTTGATATGGGCTGGATTGCCCAAAAACCGAAATAGTAAAGTGACATAGACTAGAGAAAAGGTTCACTTGACGCTTTAAATGAAGCAACATCATCTGCGAGCCCTTCCCCGTTTGAACTAACTCAACTCGTAAAGAACGGGCAACTGGCCATCAGCATATAGACAGTTCGAAGTAGTCACATCAAACTCGCGAGTGAATATAACCAGAGACAGAAAGGGAGCTTACCACCTCGATACTAAGATAAATAAATATAAATATGGCATTGAGAAGCAAAGAAGAGGGATTGATATTAGACACGCACATTACACTTGTTACATTAATTTAAATATTTATATATTACTTCCCCATGATTTTAATTGATTTGATCATTCGAAAACTATAAGCCACATTAGCAACAAATATTAACCAAGCAATTCTTTTTTAAAGACTAGCAACCAATCCTTTGCTTTTGAAAGTGGGGGCCACCACTCAAGGAATTTATTTTTGAATTAAAATTATTACAAGAGAATATTTGTATTGAAAATAAATGTCAATTAAATAATTTAGATTAAAAAAATAAAAAAGGTGCGGTGGAGATGAAAAATGTGCTCCCATGAAATTCCAACCGCTCCATATAGGATCTCAAGAGATTCGCCATCATTTAATTATGCTTCGATATTTTGTTCAGTCAATTTTCCATTTTTTACTTTATTTAACAATTAAATAATAATAATAATAATCTTTATTAAAATACTATTTCCGAATGTCAAATGTCGAAAAAACAAAACGAAAAGTATTTAATTAATAAATTAATTAATTGTTATTATCAGGCATTAAATTCCAAGGGAAAAACAAAAGTCTGCCATTTCCGCCATAACCAATCTGCACCGTTTCATCTTTCCATTTCGATAATCAAACTTTCCATTTTCACACAGCAAAAAAGGAGTGAGTGAATTCCTGCTCGTAATTCTCCTTCGAAATCCCTGAAGAATTACTGCACTTATTTAATTTCCCCCTTTTCTTCAATCAAACCCCTGTTTTTTTGGCTTGTTTAATCTTTTGATGAGAAACGTGGCATGGGCGGCTGGGGTAGAGAGAATTATTAAATGGCTATGAGGAATCTGTTATACGATCGCCACCATAGGCGTACAGGAATTGTATCTATAGAGGAGATTGGAGATAATCGAGAGGCGTGGATGATATGGAAGAATTGCCGGGGACTCTGGGTACAAGTGCGAGCTTGGCTCTGAGATTAGGGCAGGCGATTTTCGCTGTTGCTTCTTTGCTTTTCATGTGTTTGGATGTTGAATTCTACAGCTACACCGCCTTCTGGTAATTCTTCACTCTTTTTTTTTTTTTTTTTTTTTCTTTTAGCATTTTCCCCTTGTGGTAATCGCTAATTTTCGCGCCGTTTTCATGTTTTTTTTGTTCATCTTCTTCTTTTTTGTGTGTTGATTATTGGTACTGATTTTCTGATTTTTCGAAGATTTAGACTCTTCTATATTTCTATCGATTAATTTCATTCAGTTAAGTGTTTGATTTTTTTTTTTTAATTTTTTTTTTCAATTTTCAGGATTAATTGTGTGATAAGAATATGCAATAGGCATCAAATTTTCTAGTTTATTGGTTTTTGTCGGTGGAGTTTATTGGTAATACACTTGAAATTTTTGTGTTGTTTCTGAAGTTAGCTGATTCTGGAATCAGTTTCAGTATTGTTGATGATGAAGTAGCATATGCAAGAACACACACACACACACACACACACACAGTGTTTATGCATGTTCTTGTCTGCAAATTACGTGTTTTTGCTATACGAATCAAATACATCGTGTGCTTTCTAATTTTTGCCGAATAGCCAGGGAATTATCTGCCATTGATTTCTTTAACGAGTGTTCTAGAGAAGACTGCGTAGGAATAAACTCGATATCATTTGTATACGAGCTTGTGATTCGGAGATTTTGCTAAGTTCATCGATCTTCATAAACTAGTAGTCATTTAATTAGTAAAAAATCTAGTGCAATTCTCAATCTGTTGTAGTCTAATTCATGCTTTCGATTTTTCGGTTATCTTTAAATACATATTCCAGTTACTAAATTTGATTGGTGTTCGACTTCATCGCAACATTCTTGAAGAAACTACTACAATACAAAATAAAGACGCCTAATATTCTGTTAATCATTTGTGTTTTCTACTTGCAGCTTCTTGGTAACGGTTATGGGCTTGGTAGTTCCATGGAGTTTGACTTTGGCAGTGGTGGATATATTCTCCGTTTTTATTAAAAACCCAGCTCGTCAACGTGGGATAATTTCTATCGTTGTCATTGGAGATTGGGTAAAAGAAACGAAAAAAAAGAGCACCTCTTAATTCATAATTCATTTAATAATTAATATCCATTCTTTTAATATATACTCTCTAACAAATGGAACGAACAATCTTATTATCGGCAGGTACTCTCGTTTCTTTCACTAGCTGCATCGAGTTCAACGGCAAGTGTGACTAGTCTTCTTCTTGCTTCTGATGGATTCTGCAGCGTAAGATTATGCACGAGGTATCAACTCGCTGCTGCTATGGCTTTCTTGTCGTGGTTTTTGTCATTGTCCTCGTGGCTATTCAATCTTTGGCTTCTTCCTTCTCTCTAGTTCTTCTCTGTGCAGTTCCCTGCTGTTATATTGTAGAGAAATTGAATTGCCAATACATCACCCAATTAAGATGATTTTTGTTGTTCAGACCTTTTCACAGTTATACTACTGTTCATTGTAGTCTTGCAACTGTACAGTTTTTTTCTTTCTAATATGAAATTTGTAATAAAAGGAAGGCAAACCACTGCTTATAGTATGTTGTGGATTCATCAGGCTCTGCATTCTCATTTTACATTTTAATTTTTTTTATTCGAAATACAATCAAATCCACGTCATTATGTCTTTAAATTAAGTTTGGTAAGACTCATTTACTATTCTTAGAGAGTTGACTAATCATTGAAGGGTTGACAAAACCACGGTGAAAACTGGCTCCTTCGACCCTACGTCCAATGATAAACACTGAGAGGGTCTTCTGCTGCCACGTGTACTCTAATTTATTTTTCTAAAATTTCTAGAGGTAAACATTGCAACAGAAGACCCACTTCAGTGTTTATCATCGGGTGTAGGATTGAAGAAGTCGTGAAAGCCTCCGCTTATCAAATCAAAATTAAAATTAATATCATGTGTTAAATTTCCTTCAACAATTCTTTCATATGTTAAAAAATAATACCTTAAAATTATTATAGCAAAAACCTGAGGGGTTTGGTCGTAATTTACTCAATAAAATAATACACTTCAATTTAATTCAACTGGATAATGCTTCTAATTGAATAGTTTTAGTGCATTACAAATTAGGCCTAGCCCAATTGGTAGTCATTGGGCTACAATACTTTGTTACTGGATCCACACCACTATAATTTTAATAATAATAGTTCCACCATTCTATAGTCTCCATCATATTAATTAATTATTAAAATTAATAATGAAAAAATCAACTCCAAAAATATTAAAAACATAGAACCTAAATAATAATAATACAGAGAGGCATTGATAGTACGACACCGTCTTGCCGGTGGGTGACCCTGCTGAAAAAGAAAATCTAGTCAGTGGATACGGTGGTTTTTATTTTATTTGTGAACCACCACCGCCTTACAATTCGCTATTTAAACTATTTTGTGGTTCATTTTATTTTTCTTTTATGTGGTATTAATAAATCATAATAGATAAATAAATTAAAATAATATTAATTAATCAATGTCACAACTCATAACACAAATTAAACATAAATGATGATAAATGCAGCAGCACCGGAACCAGTCGTGTAAAACTCTGATCTCTGAATTTGACAGCTCAAATCAGCACACGTGCACGCACCCAATTATGCACCACACTCACCACTCTGTGTGTATATATATATATATATATATATATATATATATATATATATATATATATTTGTTATATATATATAGATATCTTGTCCTCTTGATCTGTATTTGTATATCGCAAATTTCATAAGAGTTTTGTAGTCCCGTCGTGATCTAAAAGGGCAGAAGAATAGTTATCCTTTAAATAATTGTAGTGATGCAGGAAATTTAAAAAAATAAAATATTATTTAATGAATTAAGGGTAAATTATACTAATAAATATGGTTAAATTACGAAAAAATATCTCATTTTTGAGTGATTACTTATCACTTTCCTCAACTAAGGGTTGTATGAAATTCAACACAATCTTTTAGATTTTATGTGGAATGTTCTCTAATTTATACTCATTTTGTGCAAAAATACAGTTTCTGATGCACCACAATACAAGTCAATAGACACATCGTATAATCATCTTGTTTCAAAATGTAGAGTTCGAATGAAGTAAAACGGATACAAACTAAAGGAAAATTCCACGTAATATAGAAGATTCCGTTGAATTTGACACGATCAGGGTAGATACGTATATAAAAATTATAAGTTAATGGGTGGTTGTAATTACCCAGACATGAGAGGGTTCCGACCGTAATTTAACCTTTAATCAAATAGTATTGATGATGCTAATATATGTAGCTCACCTAGGGTGGTGTAGAAAACGAACTGGGAGAGCAAAGCAGATCAGTAGCTTGACAACTTGATGATCCTGAGGTACCTGCGATCATAGAACACATAAACTAAGCCGGGGTTGATCCGGCGGAAACCCCTCCGACGCTCAAGTCAGACGTGCTGATAGTGGAAATAGTCCAGAGAATACAGTTGATAGTATTACTCAGTTAATAGAACGTACCTTAAGGAATGAGTTCAAATGTGTATTTATAGCTTAGTTGAGATTGTCGGGCCCAAACCTTACTTGAAGGTGATTGGGCCTCGGTGATAGTGGTCTTCGATATTGGGCTCGTGGCCCAGTAGGTAAGTAATTTATAGGCTCATTGGGTTGGCCCAATTATGCATATCAAATATATTAATGAGTCCACACATAATTCTACATCATCTAATATAAAAATATTATCTTAATGCTAAGGAAGCTTCGAGGAGGATGGCCATGCAAAAAATGATTAGAAGCAATCAATTTAATTAATTTAAAAGTAAATTAATATAATTGTCATTTGTCCCCAAGCGTATTTGGTCCAAAGAAGATTCCCCTCAGCAGCATCACAGCTAATCATGTCTTAAGATTCGTTCAAATTGACACATATATATATTTTTTTCCACACATAAAAACAACAAAACTTTAGTCTTAATTCATTAATTAAATCGCAACTTGCTTTATTTTAACGTTTACATGATGACAGCTTAATCACCGATTATGTGACAGAAATTACACGTATCCGTAAAATTTTTCAATTTATTATTATTCAATTATTTTTTTATTACTAAATTGAGTTGAAAATAAAAAAATAAAAATAAAAATAATCGAAACCCTAAGAGGCCAACAGTACAGATCATAAGAGTAAAATTGATGTCGGGTTGTTGGGAATTCTGGTCCAAAAAAGACCCACAACTTGCTTGCCGCTGACCCGACCCAATTACTATAAAGTCCAGCCCGCCCGCCCACCCGTT